GGTTCATTGTTAAATTTGAAATTTAAATAAGTGCTGATATACAAGCCGGATGCACCAACACATATTACTTTTGTCTGAATCTAAATATGGAAATATTTGGAGGGTGCGCCCACCGCCCTCCCCATGTCATTTGCTCAGAACAATGAAACAATGAGAGTTAGGCATTTTCAAGGATTTTCTGGGCAGTGCTGCACTCCCCAGTGCCAGAGGTGACTCAGTGGGATTTGGTGATATGAAATGGCATGCAGTTTTGAATAAAACGAATATACTGAGATACGCCATCATCTTTGACACACGCTGTAATCTAGTGCTAATACAATATTTAGAATGAACATCATCAGACAGCAGCAGTTTTGGGCCAATGCTATAAGTTCTGTGTCCTCAAAACACACAGATGTTTGACTATGCCTGGACAAATCGTTCCTGGAATATTTAGAAATGGAGTTGAACTCTGATGTATTGATTGTCTCTCGGGTCCAAAAGGCATCAAAACAGGTGCCTGCAGGTGAACAACACATCTCAATGTAAAATATTGACAACGGCCCATTCTCTCCAACTGTACACGAGATTTATGCATTTTAACATTTCACATGCAGGCAGCAAATTATCTGCAGGATGTTATACTGTACGCCTTCTCTTTGTCACATAACCACAATGGAGCAATTTACTTAAAAGTGCAGTACCTCTCCAGTATGACCTTTCCACTGTGAAAAAGGAACGGATTTCTCAAGCTCCTAACGTCATACATTCATACTACCTGTTATACAAATGAATCTTTCTTAATATGTATAACCCCAACCAAGGTCTACATACATCTTGCTACAATTGTAAGTACTTCACAATTTTCAGAAAAGAACTTTCCTCTTCTTTTCTTGTTTAAGGGTCATTGTCATAAATTCACCAGTTTCATATTGAAAATACAAAGTATGGCCAAAATTATGCAGACACCTGACCATCACATATATATGAGTTTATTGGACGTCTTATTCCAAAACCATGGGCATTAATATGGACACCACCACCACTACTTTCACTCTTCTGGGAAGGCTTCCCACAAGATATGGAGTGTGTCTGTGGAATTTGTGCACATTCAGTCAAAAGAACCTTTGGGAGTTCAGGCACTGATGTTGGATGAGAAGGCCTGGCTCGCAGTCAATGTCCCACTTCATCCCAAAGGTGTTCAGTGGGGTTGAGGGGCTGAGGTCAAGACTCTGTGCAGGCCACTGGAGTTCCTCCAGACCAAACTCATCAAACCATGTTTTTATGGACTTCGCCTTTTGCACAGGGACACAGTTATGTTGGAAAAGGAAAGGGGCCTTCCCCAAACTGCTGCCACAAAATTGTAAGCATATAATTGTTTAAAATACCTTTGTATACTGTAGCATTAACATTAACCTTCACTGGAAAGGAAGGAGACCAAGCAACCAAACCTGCATTTTCCTTGCCAGTTCACAGGAGTTACTTGACACTGAACATTCACTGAGCACTTTATTAGGTACATGGCTTGTATCTACACTCACTGTCCATTTTATCTGCTCCACTTACCATAGGTGCACTTTGCAGTTCTACAATTACAGATTTTTCGCATCATTTGTTATCACAACTTTACCTCATTCATCAATGATAAGGACACCCACAAGACCACCACGGATCAGGTATTATTTGTGTGGTAGATCATTCTCCACCAACCAAAACTATCCAGCCAACAGCATCATGTGGGCAGAATCCTGTGACCACTGATGAAGGACTAAAGGATGCAGCAACAGATGAGCTACTGTTTCTGACTTTACATCTACGAGTTGAACCAACAGATAGGAGTGTCTAACAGAGTGAACAGTGAGTGGACACAGTGTTTAAAAACTCCAGCAGCACTGCTGTGTCTGATCCACTCGTACCAGCGCAACACACACTAACACGTCAGTGTCACTGCTGTGCTGAGAATGTTTAACAAAGTTTATTTTGTTAGCTTTAAGCAAGTAGAGTGTAAAAATTAACTTGTTCATATTGTTCAATAGCACCGCTGTGCTACATGATGCTATTCTGTCTCACAATGCTGTGGTCCACTGCAGCCATTTTAATAAATACAACAGCGCAATGACAGAATCAGCAAATGAGAGTCTTCTGATTTAAACATAGAATTAGTACCCAGAAAATGACCCTTTCTTCACAGATGAGAAATTTCTAGGTTAAAAAGCTGAATTAAAGTATTTCCTCCACTCATGAGCACAGAGCACAGGAAAGTGTATTAAACTGAGAAAAAAGAATAAAATATGTCTCCATTAAGGGGCCTTGCCCAAACCCTGAAAAACAGCCTCAGACCATTATCCCTTTTCCACCAAACTTTACTGTTGGCACTATGCCTTCCAGTAGGTAAAGTTCTCCTGGCATACACCAAACACAGATTCGTCCATCAGACTGCCATATAGTGAAACGTGATTAATCACTCCAGAGAACATGTCTCCACTGCTCCAGAGTCCAGCAGCAGTGTATTTTACACCATTCTAGCTCATGCTTGGCATTGTGCATCGAGATCTTAGGCTTGTGTGCAGCTGCTCGACAATGGAAGCTCATTTAATGAAGCTCCTGGTGCACAGTTCTTCTGCTGATGTTGATTCCAGAGGCAGTTTAGAACTGTATATTGAGTGATTCAGGTGATTTTTACACACTGTGCACTTCAGCACTCGGGCAGCCCTGCTCTGTGAGTGGGGTACCACTTTGTGGTTGTGCTGTTGTTGCTCCTAGTCACTTCTTTTCCACAATAACTGCACTTACAGTTATCAGATCTAGCAGAGCAGAAATTGTGCATGATTTAATGTGTAGCAATGGATGTGACAGAAACACAAGTGCTCAATAATTAGAAGGTGTCCATATACTTTTGGCCAGTGTAAAGAGCATATACCTTGGCATACATAAATATTCAGCAGTCATCCAAAGGGTATGAGGTGTGGATAAGAGTATATTGCCAAGCACCTCTTCAAGGAATTCTAAGAATAAATGTGTCCCACTCTCTCATCATGCTTTTGACTGAGACATGGGTTGAATCGCTTCTAGACATGATGTGAAGGCTCTATTTATATCTATTGTGTATGACATAAGCATGCTTACTTTAAGCATTCCTCAAAAAAACAGTAATCAGTTATTTAAATGATATATTTCACTTGTTTGATGTGACACAACGTATATTTACAGAGCCAACACTATACTTCATAATTAAAAAGCATATTGCTGTGCTTTACTTATAAATTTGCATTTATTTATATCAGTGCATTTACAACCAGTTTCTGTGTTTTATCAACTACTGTGTACATACACACACGATTCCTGCCATAAGATTTGATAGGAAACTGATAGGAAATGATGATGTATTTGCATTGGAAAATATGGCTGTGTACCTTAAAGGGGAACTCTGATTTTTAAAAAATTGTCCACAATGAATAAAATGTAAGTAAAGCCATGGTATATTTGTATTTTAAATTCTCTCATTGTGGAGAGGTACACACAAGGTGTTGTAAGGCAAAATAGTACCCAAAGGATTTTTTTTTTAATTTGTGACTACTTCAATATTATCATTTCATAGAAAAACTCAGAAGACAGATGCACATAGCCTCACTTGACGTTTTGGATAGCAAATAAAGTGGCTGAATTGCTTTGAACCCCTGGTTCCTATCACTTACCGTAAGTTTCTCTAAAATGCACCATTCAATATTAAATCACTCTGAATGACTTCTCAACTATTAAGCGATGCAGAAATTTTAGAAATATCAGTGAAACCCCCCTTTATATTGCATAAAAATGGCAAACATTTTAAAAATGACATTTTTACTCAATAAAGCAAAAATGGCAGATTGAAAAGTACATTTACAATTGGTCAGGCATTAAGTTAGCCTGCTGGTTCCCAATGTGGAGGCCTAAACCTAACATACGTAAATTCTTGGCCAAGCTTTTATTTCATAGGCACAATGCAGCAGTAATGTATAGAGTGTACATAATGTAAAAGATGTAAAGCTGAACAAGTCAATTGCAGGATTGGTATATGAAAATAACTATGTACAATTATTCATTTTATTCAATTCATGAAAATAGTAAGTGACACAGTCATAGAGGCACACAAAAACTACTTTAAGCCTCCATTAGCCGCACCAACCTTACAAACCTTACAAGTGCAACACTCTTTCATAAAAAACACTAATAAAACTGTGACACAGGTAGAAGAGAATAATTAAATAGTGTAGGAAAATATTATTTTTTAACTGGGCCAGAAAGAAGAAAGAAGTATGAAACTACCACTGAGGACCCAGGTTCCCAAAGCAGTAGGAAATCAGCCTAGCTTGCTTCTCATAGATGGCTTTGTCAGGCATCCCCTGGTAGAAGATCTTAGTTGCCTTGAAGGGGTGTATGCCGGTTGCCCAACCCACGGGCACTGGCGACAGCCGCGAGAGAGAGTGGGAAGGTAGTGCCCATGGATCGGACAACTGGCACAGGGTGCAATTCTGAATCACTGTTAGAGTATAGTGAGGAGCACTGTCTTTCAGAACTTAGAATGCAATAACTATAGTTTTGTATTGCCGACTAGGAACCACTGGAGAAATCTCAGTAGAGCAGTCATATGACAAAATCAGGGTAATCTTAACAGTCTCTACTGGAGATTGCACGTTTTTAGTAACATCAAGCTCTGTGATATTAAGCAATGTGTGTAACATATAGTCTATAACATTGACTCATACCAATCGATTGTTTCTGTATTCATCCTGGAGACGACCCAAACCAACAATGCAGTGGAGAAAACTGACCAATCCAAACAAGTGGTCATCTGACCTAAACTAGAAGACTTATAACCTTCCAGAAACATTTCAATACGCATCTGCTCTGCTATGTGTCTAAGCCCCATTGCTTGATACTCTAAACCCCGTTCAGTCAGGATTCCTACAACAGACAAGTGGTTAAGGCACACTGTCGGCTACCTGGACATGCACCATGAAATATTTATAGCAAAGGGGTAGGACAAGGATGGGGAGTGAGACTATATAAAATCATCATTGTCCCCTCTCTGTAACACTCACAAGTGCTGCTTTTCATATTGGAGTCCTTTGACCACAGCTATGGTGAGTGCATTTCATCTTTAGCAAGGTCTTATCTTCATCATTAGCTTTTGCATAGCTTTCCTTAGAATGTCTACTTTCTTTTCATATGTTCAGCAAAGGCTTTTAATTCTGTCTCTTTTTTGTAAAGAAAAAACTTCCAATGGATTCAAACAAGAACTTTGGAGATTTATACATGTAGTCCATTGGTTGGTTTAATGAGATAAACAGTGATGTTCTTGAAGACATTTGTGTGATAAAGTTGTTTCACATTACATATACACTCTTTAAAAAGATGGTGCTTCAGTGGTTCTTTAGTTAAGAAAGTAGTTTTATATAAAACCATGAACACTTGAAGAACCAAAAAAGATTCTTTGCATCATGAATCTGCATCATCTTCAGATTGATGGACAATGTGCATGAATGTGCTATAGACGGTTCTATATAGAACCTTTTTGAAAAATTGTTCTATATAGCACCCAAAAGCATTCTTACATTGTTACAAACTTGACATAATTTTCAAAAAGGTTCTATATTGAACCATCTACAGCACATTCTCCATCAGTCTGAAGAACCCTTTCATAATGCAAAGAACCCTTTATTCATGCACAGGGTTTTTCAAGTGTTCATGGTTCTATATAGAACGATTTTCTTTACTAAAGAACCCTTGAAGTACCATCTTTTTTAAGAGTGTGTAAGACATGTCTTGCTGTTGTATGTCAATGTGTCAAGACGTATTTAAGCAATTTGTTTTGTGATTTGGCCCAAGAAACTTGCATTAGCTTTGCAAGTCGGAGGATATTGACTCATTACTCAGGATAAACTTGTTCATTATTGTGGAAAATCTGCGCTCTGCTCCACAGCAATTCTTTGACCTCTACTTCTACACCGCAGCTGTTAGGATGTAATCCACACACCACCGACAAGCAGCTGTCTGTGCTGCCACAGATCTAGGAGTATGATGTCACTGAGCAGAAATGCATTCTCCGCTGTTTTCCTGGTTCTGTGGCAGCAATGTAAATAGTTGAGAATAATCCCTGTCTTCATAGGATTACCACTCAAACACTGCTCAAAGCTGGGCCTGTCAAAAGCCAGCGCCAGAGTGTAATCCCACATCTGATCCACAGGCTGAGCCTGAGAGGGGACCACTCCCTCACTGTGCTAATTATAAATCCTACTCAAACATTTCCACTAGTTCTCTAGATCTGAAACAGACCAAAAAGATGTTTGGTGTTAACACTAAAGTAAATAAATGACTATACTTCTTTCTATCTAGGCACCTAAGAAGGCAAAGAAAAGGGCAGAAGGGGCCAACTCCAATGTCTTCTCCATGTTTGAGCAAGCACAGATACAGGAGTTCAAAGAGGTACACATGAAGTCTGGTACAATTTAATTTACAGCGTATTCACACTTAGCAGGTTTGGTTTGATTAAAATGAACTCTATTTAGTTTGAACTAGAGATGCACTCAGCTTTTCTCTTCAGATACTGATTCCGATACCGGAACTACCAATCGTATATCAGTGCTTTTTTTTTAACTTAAATTCTGCATATCTCACTGTGTCTAACAAGAGGCTGTAAATAGAGCAAAAGAGCAAATTAATAAAGAGTGACGTATTACAAAAAATGTATTAATATCGTCACAAGAAAAACAACCATCTCTAAAATAGTAACTTTACAGGAGAGGGCAAAAACACTTACCTTTCAATGTAAGTTAATGTAAAGAGATTTTAGTCCAAGTGATTTTAAAGCATTTCTATTGGTCCATTCATCATGAAATTTTACAACGTACATACAACGTACAGGACAGCTGGCGTGTTGAAATGTTGTAGAAAAGTTAAAATCAACAAAAATAGAGATACATGGTTTTCTTTGGAGTTGGACGACATGCTTCTGGATAATGCAACAGCAAAATAAACAGTAATTATAATTCCAGTGTGAACTTTTTTAGTGCAATAGCAAAGTTGTAAAATCTAAACATAAAAAAGTTGTATATGCTGAGTTTAACCCTCAAAACTTTAGCTTTCCAAATATTACAAGTTTCTGTGCTACTAGTAGCTGTATCAAGTGTAAAATATCTCCAAATTGCAGATTTATTATTAGCCAGCATGAGTCGTGTTGCTTGTTCTGATAGCTGATGTTTAAACTCAGGATTTTTACAAACACTGAAGCACCTTCATTATTAAGTTCATATTTAACCACAACATTTTTACTCTAACTTTTTAGTCTATGAAACTGACCTTAATACAAAACACTCACAAAGCTGATACAGTACAGGGAAATGTTCCTGTGTGTCAGTTTTATTCTGATGCACAGCAGCACAGAGAAACAGAGAGGTCTATGAGCTTTCTGTTCTGTTAATAAAAACATTGTGTTTCTGATATTTATCACATTTTGGAGTAATGCGCTTTAAGCGAAGAGCCATGCGGCTCAGAGACGGTAGCGAATGTGTATCAGACACATCTGGCCGATATCCAATTTGTTTATTAAGGTCAGTATCGTTGCCAATCCGATCCAGACTATCGGATCATTGCATCACTAGTTTGAACCATTCAAATAGAATGAACTGCTGTCACTTCTCAACATACCTTATTTGGTGTGTCTAACAGACTAATTTCTGACCCTGTTTTGACTTGCGCATGCGTTTGCTCATCTCTTCTAGAGATCTTAGTCAGTTATTAGCCATTCAAAACTACTGTAAAATACTCCATATAAATAAATATGATACCACTCATCAATTATGTTAAACAGTTTTATGAAAAAGTCAGAGAACACATTCATTTATTTAACTTCCAGTCACATACTGTAAAACATATTTCACAGAAAATTACACAGAAGCCTCAACAACTAATATAATATCAATATTTTCAGCATTTGGTGTTTGCTTTTATTGCAGCTTCCATTCTTATCAGGAGACTTTTTTTAAAGAATTTTTTTCAAAGAAATTTGCAGTGATGTTTTTCCACACCTCCAAAGTTCAGTTTTCGAAATTGGTTGCATTTTCTGCTTCTCATGATCAAAAGCAATCCCAAACATATTTAATAATGTAATAAGGTCTGACCTCAGGGGTGGTCAGTACGTTGTTCTGGAAAGAACATCAGGTTTTTTGTTTGATTTGCAAATTGTCTTCTTTTTTTGTCTATTTCTTTTTCTCTGTAATGACTTCTTGACAGCTACACATACATTCTACACATACATTGCGCTGGGCTGTCTACTCTCTCTCATTGATGAAAGCTTTAAGTACTGTTTATTTGATGGTGACAGTTTCAGTGGTCTACCAGGTGTTACATAGTTGTTGGAAGTCCCATTATCTCATACTTCAGTTTTGTTTTGTTTTTTTGCTTATTTTCCTTTGACTTTTCTTTTCTTATGCAAGTAGATTATCTTATATCTGATCTCTCAGAAATAAAAGAAATAAAAGAAATAAAAAGTTTGGAGAAATAAAAGATTAATCAATAAATTAATTTCATTTATACTGGAAATTAAATAAACAAAGGGTGGTCTCTGACTTTTGCGCAGTATTGTGTATTAATGTGGCATGTTTTTTGACATTTATAAGCAGTAAGACAATCAAAGCCATGTGTTTACAGAGTGATTTCAACCTGCTTGCCTTTGTGGGGAAAACCACAGTAATGCATGGCCTCTTAAGGCTTATTGCTTTAGAATATCACAAGACAAAGATAAAGCATACAAAAGGGTCCGGCCCAAACAACATTTTACAGGCTTTGATTATGTGTTGGTATTTCCAAACCAGTACTCAAATTGTTCTCAGAATAAACCTTAAGAACAACAACATTTATATTTTATAATTAACCATAGCCATAACACAAGTATGTCTGTTACTGCAGTTCAAAATATATCCAGTAGGCCACAACTGTGAATTACCTGCCAGGCTGAAGCCTGTATATAATTTATAAGTGTTTCGTTGATGCATTTTTAAGACAATGTTTTATTTATTTACTCAAGTTTTTTGGGTAGTATGTTGTTTTTTTTTTACCATAGAAAGCTGTACCAACATTCAGGCTGAGTTAAGCTCGGTCATTCGGTTCTTGCTTCACAGCTTAAAGAGTCGCTGGCTACAGCGCATGAGTTCATATGATGGCAAGAGTACCAGCCTGTTTTTGCACATTTATACTGAGCATTTTTTTTTACCATCCGATAATTTAAAGTGCTCCCATCTTTTCCTAGGCATCTGCACTCTGTTAGCTAAACAGCCTTGTGCAAAGCGTGAAAAAGATTAAGCTTCCACATACTAAACAGAGAACCAGATACCAATTTAAGAAATGAATACTCGAGTAATCAAATTATTCTGGATGGCCCTACATGGTTCATAAAGATCGCTAGATATTATCCCAGTAATTGTAAGCAAATGTATGCCATAAAATCTGGCCAATCAATTGTGCCTCTTTTATCCATATGACTTGGAATGCTAAGCAAACCAGAACTAAATCACAACACTATCATTTCCATCTACTAGTGTAGATGAACGTAATGAGACTACAAATGTAAAGCAGTCTTCTCTACATTTACTTGGAGCAGTTCTAAAAGCTCTAAACTACAGTGTGAGTTTTGCGTATGGCACTTCAGTGTTACCGTTTAACACCACTGGTGAATAATTCAAAGTCTGTCAGGTGCCATTAGAGCAGTGAGGTGATTTACACTCTGAACACACACATACACACATTCTTACTCGCACTTACGCACACACACACATACTGTCAGCCGTCTGAAAGTTGGGTGGAAAATAGAGAAGGACAGACATTCTTCCAAGTATCAAGGCGACCGTGGAAAGAGCACGACAAACAGGATAAACGTGAAGCTAATCCGAGATGGCAGTGATGGACACGCACACACACACACTTCCCCTCTTTCTACTCTCCTTCGCTCACCTACACACAAACACACCTAACTGCAAACACACAAACAGCTAAAAAGGAGAGCGGCTACAAGCAGAAGAAAAATAGAGTCAGCCTCAGCTAGAAAAAAAGAGAGAGAAAGGGAGAAAAAGCATCAGAAGGAAAGGTTGGCAGAGTTTGTAAGGAAAGCCATGAATACAGCTTTGCAGTTCAGTTACTCTGCTGCAACACCCATCAGTTGTCTTCCTCTCTTTATTTCCCTCTCTCTCTCTGTCCCCGTTCAACTGCCACAGGCCTTCACCATTATGGACCAGAACAGAGATGGATTCATCGACAAGAATGACCTGAGAGACACATTTGCAGCGCTCGGTGAGCAAACTAAACCTCCACTAGTCACCACAAAGTATCACATAGTGTTGGGGTTTCAAAACAGTATCGAAAACGAAAAATTAATGTTGAAAACAGTGTAAAACAATTTAAAACTGTATCAGCAATACATCACAGAGTCTCTTCCAAAGGTTCTCTTATTTGTCATCTTTCACGGAGACCACAGTCAATGATCACAACTAGGCATCTGGGTGCATCCAATCAGAGTAAAGTGGGTGGGGAGGGAGGTGGCTTATGCTATGCATCCTGAACTATCATCACATAACAATAATGATTTTTAGTTTTAGTGGTATTATCAGATAATATCTTGGTTAGCTTCAATTTCGCATTTGATAGGTCTTTCAGATTGTTTTAAAAGACTTATTCAAATTATATTAAAACTAAATACAGAGTCGATCCTGGAGATCTTGCTGGTTAATGTTTACAATGCTGTGTAAGGCTCCCTTTGGTTTAGAGTAGCAATACTCAGTGAGCATGAGTTGATTTACTTAACTAAAGCAAACTTAAACATCATCTGATACCATGATACTGTAATATACATGGAAAACACTGATATTGAATTGAATTTAGGAATGAATTTAGCCCTATTGGCCTTTGGAATGGGGATGTAGAAAGTGTGTGTGTGTGTGTGTGTGTGTGTGTGTGTGTGTGTGTGTGCGTGTGAAGGGCTTTGACCTCCTAACACTCTGTGGTGCTGCAGGTCGGCTGAATGTGAAACAGGAGGAGATTGATGAGATGTTGAAGGAGGCTCCTGGACCCATTAACTTCACCGTCTTCCTCACCATGTTTGGAGAAAAGCTCAAAGGTAAGGGACAGTGGGAGAGTGGCCTGCGATTGTACTTGGAAAATAAACACAAAACAAAATCTCAAAAGTAAAATGAACCCCTATGGAAAATGTAGCCAAAATGCTTCATGTGAAAAGAAAATCACAACAAAATCTGCAATTTATGTACCATTATTTCAACACACTCTGTATTTCTGTGATTAGGTGCAGATCCAGAGGAGACCATTCTGAATGCCTTTAAAGTCTTCGACCCTGAGGGGAAAGGATATTTGAAAAAGGATTTGTGAGTAACCTTATTAGATTAGTGAGTGATAAAAATGAAGACTGTGTGATTCATCCTCATAGTCTATACCAGGGGTGCCCAAATATAAATGAAGGTAGGTAGGGTTCAAATCATGTTTTTAATGTTATTTTACAAGACTACACTATATTTTGGTATTGTTTGTTCTTTCAATAGGTGGGGGGTGGGGTTAGGGTAACTTTCTAGCGGGCTGAAAGTTGGGCAGCCTTGGACTGTACAGTCTCAAGACTGTAGTGTTGAACTTTAAATGGAGCTTTTATGGCTGTTATGGTTGCAAGATTTAGGGTGATATCTGTACATAACCTACAATGTGAACACACAGAAGAGGTTTCCTATTACATTATTAACACTTTTCATAACTATTACTACTAAAATAATATATAGACATACCATTCTTCCATTAAAACAAAATATTCTATAAAAACTTCAATTAAAACTTTGACTTCTATAAAATACTCAGAATTATTTTAGTTTTCTAGCCATGCATTTTTCTCAACAGATCACAGATTGTGTAAAAAACCATCTACAACACCGAGTACTACAACTAAAACTGAATCTAAAATGCAATCCCATTTCCAAAAAAGTTGGGATGCTGTGCAAAATGTAAATAAAAACAAAATGCAATGATGTGCAAATCATTTAGACCTTATATTTAATTTAAAATAGTATAAAGACAACATATCAAATGTTAATACAGAGAAATTTTACTGTTTTTTGAAAAATATATGCCCAGTTTGAATTTGATGCCAGCAACACATTCCAAAAAGGCTGGTAAAAGTGTAATGCTAAAGAAAAACCTGGTGGTTGATTGACAACAGGTCAGTAACATGACTAGGTATAAAAAAGCATCTCAGAGAGGCTGAGTCTTTCAGAAGTAAAGATGAGGAGGGGTTCACCAGTCTGTGAAAGACTGCATGATCAAATAGTGCAGCAATTCAAGAATAACATTTCTCAACATTAAATAGCAAAGAACTTTTGCTTTTCAACATCTACAGTGCATAATAACATTTAAAAAATGATTTAGAGAATCTGGAGAAATCTCTGTATGTAAGGGACAAGGCCAAAAACCAGTATTTGCTGGCCGTGATCTCTGGGCCCTCAGGCGGCACTGCATTGAAAACAGACATGATTCTATGGTGAAAATCACTGCATGAACTCAAAAACACTTCTGATAACCACTATCTGTGAACACAGTTTGTCGCTGCATCCACAAATGCAAGTTAAAACTCTAAAACGCAAAGAAGAAACCACATATGAACAGGATCCAGAAATGCCGCCACATTCTCTGGGCCCGAGCTCATTTAAAATGGAAAATGGAAAAGTGTCCTGTGGCTTGACAAATCAACATTTGAAATTCTTTTTGGAAATCATGGACACTGTGTCCTCTGGACTAAAGACCACTCAGCTTGTTATCAATGCACAGTTCAAAAGCCAGTATTCATGATTGTATGGGGGGTATTAGTGCGCATGGCATGGGTGATGTGCACATCTGTGAAGGCACCATTAATGCTGAACGGTATATACATGTTGTCCAGATGACATCTTTTTCAGGGAAGGCCTTGTTTATTCCAGCAAGACAATGCCAAACCACATTCTGCATGTATAACAACAGCATTGCTCCGTATTAAAAGAGTCCGGGTGCTAAACTGGCCTGCATGCAGTCCAGACCTGTCACCCACTGAAAACAATTGCCGCATTATGAAATGAAAAACACGACAAAGGAGACCGTGAACTGTTGAGCAGCTGAAATCCTATATCAAACAAGAACAAGAAAACATTTAACTTTCAAAACTACAGCTATTAGTCTCCTCAGTTCCCAAACGCTTACAGTGTTGTTAAAAGAAGAGGTGATGAAACACATTGGTAAACATGCCCCGTCCCAACTTTCCCAAATTCAAATGGGGCAAATATTTTTCAAAAAAACAATACAATTTCTCAGTTTCAATATTTGATATGTTGTCTTTATAGTATTTTCCTTTAAAAATATGGTTTACATGATTTGCATATCATTGCGTTCTATTTTTATTTACATTCTGCACAGCGTCCCAACTTTTTTGGAAATGGGGTTGTACAAAAAAATATATGTATTCAAATAAATAAATAAATAATTGAATAAATTGAGTAAATAAACTTCCCTGAACAGTAACTGAAATTCAACAGAATCTCCCCAAGATAATGGAAAATATTTTAGGAAACAAGATTACATTAAAAAACACAAATCTATTATGACACTGGTAGCCTATAGTGATAACCACTAATAAAATTTTTATCTTTCTATAGTGTAACTGAGATGCTGACAACCCAAGCAGACAGATTCTCTCAGGAAGAGGTAAAACAACTCATTAATCTTTCATCTTTATCACATTTAATATTTTTAAAACCAACACAACAACATCTTGCCTATGTAGTGTCATAATCCCACAGTAAAAGTTCTCAGTGCATATATTGCACTGACATCCTTTCAGACTCCCAGCTCTCTGTTTTCTCTCCGTCTGTTCAGATGGAGCAGATGTTCACTGCTTTCCCACCAGATGTGGCTGGTAATCTTGACTACAAGAACCTGGTGTACATCATCACACACGGAGAAGAAAAGGACCAGGAGTAAAAACAAGCCTCGCTCCTTCTTTGGCTTCAAAGAGTTTGATGTAAAATGCTTTATTTAGTTTGTCTGCACTGGTTTCATAAAACTGGAATGTAAGTAGAAGGTGCATGGCACAGGCCTACTGTTTACTATCAAACACACAGAGTGACCTTCTATGTGAAATAAAACATGCACACGTTGTTGGCTTAACTGTTTCTATTCTTTCACTGGCTTCAGTTAGTTTTATAGATGTTGCGGAAAAAGTTTAAAGCATGTTATAATAAGAAATGATCAAGCAGCTCAAAGACAAGAATCTTTGCTGCCACCTACTGACTCTCAGTAAACTATTTATAGTTAGGTGTACACCGACCAGCTACTTTATTGGGTACACATGCTTGTTTATATACTTGATGTCCATTTTATCAAGTCCACTTACCATATAGGAGCACTTTGTAGTTCTACAGTTACAGACTGTAATTCATCTGTTTCTCTGCATACTTTGATAGCCCCATTTAACCCTGTTCTTCAATGGTCAGGACCCCCGCAGAGCAGTGTGGTGGAGACACAAGAGACAGAGTGTAAAATCTGGATTAAACAGTCTGGAAGAAGTTAGTTAACTGTAGTATTGTTAATATGCACCGAAGGCACAATATACAGTTGCATATAATCATATATTTATCCTCCCAGCAGCACAATTAGACTACTGACAGATCATGATGTTATATACATAGTATTCATATGCAAACTGTGGATTCTGGATGTATTTGGCCCAAAGATTGTTTAGTATGTAACAGGCTAATCGATCCACCTTTATTATTGACAACATGACATAATCGGTAATTATTAGATTTTAAGTTTGTACATCTTTGTAGGTTGTACCTTGTAGGTTTAACTTTGTAGTCTCAGTTGTCTGATTTTAACTTAGTTTGGTCATCTTCTCTAGACAGAAGTTGTATCTGTGCTGAGCAAACGTATGCTTTATAGTGAAGGTGCTGCAGTGTTGGTTGTGTTTGTTTGAATCCAGCTTTCTGATTGGTTCCTATTGTTTTGTATCAGGGTGGAAGTGTTGGACTATGTAGAGCAATGACTGCAAGGCTGTTAGGAATAGCCTTTAGCTGTAATGCCACTGCAGGACATTAGTTAATTGTGTGTGTGTGTAACTCCTGGTCTGAAAACAAGCCCTACTCCTGGCCTCGTCTTCCCTAAAAGAACTATTTGATCTGGTGTTCAGAATTGACTGCTAAAATAAAAATTGACATTTTTTTTCTTAGTAGAGATTCCAACAATGTCCATCTCAAATTCTTGCAAAGGAAGCCAAAAATATAAATTCTCTAGATAAGTCGGATTTTGTGGATGAGGCATACAGTTCTGGTACAAACCATTATGTACACTCAGTTTAATGGATGTGTACCTCTAACCCTCAATAAAAAGATATTCTGTATAAAAGAACTGAATTAGAAATGATTTTAAAGAAATACTACTAACTACTAAATGCTAACTACGCTGTAAAAAATGTTTCGTCCATGTAACCTAAAAACATTACTTCATGTGGCAACACGTAATCTAACTACTTTTATTCAACTCTAATAAATACTCTAAAAAAAACAATGTAATAAAAATACATCAAGTTAAAATACATCAATTCAAACCTCAAAACCACTACACATCAATTTGTCCTGTACCACTTAAAGTGTAGCTAACCAATGAAGAGAATAATTAGAATAAATAATGTTGTGTGGTACACTATATGGTCATCACACCTTATATGAGCTTGGTGTACAACCCATTCCAATGGAGTTGCCCCCTCACTCCCTCTTTATGGCTATCACAGCCTCCATATACCATTTCATCTCAGAGGTATTCAGTGGGGTTGACATTATGGCTCTTTTCAGGCCACTGGATGTCCTCCACACCCAAACTCATCAAACCAGTCATCAACAGTCATGCTGGAACAAGGAAGGGGCTTTCCCCAAACTGTTGCCACAAAGTTGGAAGCATATATTGTCTAAAATGTGTTTGTATGCTGTAGCATTAACATAACCTAACATGGAACTAAGGGGCCCAAACCCTGGAAGACAACTGCAGACCATCTTGCCTCCTCCACCAACCTTTACTGCGTGCACCGTGCATTCAAGTAGGTTAGTGTTCTAACTAATGACTGAGCCGTTGTTGTGCCTAGATACTTCCATTTTACAATAACAGCGCTTTCAGTCGACCGGGGTAATTCTAGCAGGTCAGAAATTTCAAAAGCTGACTTTTGGCAATGGTTTATAATCACTGAGCTCTTCAGTACAACCCATTCTACTAACAATTGGCCCCATTCACCAACCATTCTTAATGAGAAATTTCTTCTTAAAATCCAGGAAAAAATTCAGGAAGATTCTGATATTCCCCAGTGATTTGGGATTTGTCCCTAGGTAAGAACAGAATCTACACACACTCCTACACACACAATTCAGTGGTTTAAGAACATGTCATGAATCTGACATAGACTTTTTCTTAGGACCTTTCACAAGAACAAATCTAAGAAAAAACTTAGCAAGATATTGGTGAATGAGCCCCATTGTTTGCCTATGGAGATTGCATAGCTATGTGTTTGATTCTATTCACCTGTTAGCAATAGGTGTGGCTAAATCACCTGAAATTAATAATTAGGAGGGGTGTCCACATACTTTTATAGGCCATATAGTGTACCTCTGACTGCTATATTTGTAAAAATATACAGCAAACAAAAAAGAGCTCTTAGTACTGCTTAAGTTGAGTCTTTTGAAGACACACATCATTATCCTTTAAATGAAATGTAGCAGCTTGGAGTTCATACTCTAATTGAGCAGACTTCAATTTAACTGGTTAAATCCCAGTAAGGGATTAAGCCACATCATGGACTACACAACATTCTGAATAGACATTTTGCATTAAACAGTGTCCAGGACTACTCCTTAATGCCTGTCCAGGAAACCAACCCTATGCTTATCATTCAGGTGTTAATTACTATGTATTCTCTGGTCGGCATGTATCTAGTATGAAACCGATGTGTAAAGAGAGATGAATGGACATGTTGAACTGGCAGTAGTTCCTTAGGCTTTAAGAGGTTAAGTTCTCAGTAAATATAATAAAATGTATATAATCAAAATAAATTAGGATAATATATGATAAAATATTTTCCTAAATTTCACAGTTTTAATGGTGTAATTAATTTTCAATTTTACATCACAGTCTCTAGTTTTAGAATTTCTTTCATCAACAACATTTACTTATTTTAATAGCACACTGTAGACTGTGCTGCCCTTCCATGGCCAAGAGATGGAGCCACAAGCAAAATCATTTCAGCTCCAATGCAGAAACAAGAATACAATGTATAGTACATACGTATTTAACATACCACATGTTTATGCTTTTATTCATGTACATTTTATATATTTCTGAATAACTGCTATGCCAGTTTCAAGAAGATTTTATGTAATAAGTCTTAAAATGTCAAGTGATATACATATTAATAAAGACATAACGTACACTCTTAAAAAAAAGAAAATAGTTCTATATAGAACCTTGAACCTTGAACTTTCTGCATGACTAAAGGGTTCTCTGCGTGGTGAAATGATTCTTCAGACTGATGGACAATGTGCTGTAGATGGTTCTTTTTGAAAAGGGTTCTATATAGCACCAAAATATATATATGTATACACACACACAGACACACACACACACGCATATATAAAACAACACAACTATTTCACGATGGACTAATGTTGTCTTGCAAAACTGCCGATTACAAGAGGTGTAGGGAACCACTTCTACATTACACTGAGTTACATCTGAAGACCTGAGGTCAAAATACAGAGTAAAGAGTTATGAATGTCTGAAACCACATATTAGTACATTAAAGCGGATGCACTATAATTTGTAAAGAAGCAAGAAGTCTATCCTAGATGGACAGATAGACAGACTGCGGGACAAGAGAGCTCTTCAGGCCTGCTGTTCCAGAGGCTGACTGTAAATGAGCGCTGTGAAAAGTGTCCAAGTTGCGTAAGAGCCAGTGACGTCATGTCAGTCACAAGACTCTAGTAGTGGTTTTTCTCCGTAGCCAGCAGGCTAACTGTTAGCAAACTGTGCACAGAAGAAGACCGGTGGGATGGAGCCGAACAGGAACGCGAGTGTCGTGATCTTTGGATACGTTTAGAGAATTAAAGACACTTTTGGACCAAAATAATATGGACAGACTGATGTAAAGTGTTGACGTGAACGAGAAGAGGATCATTTGTGACGCTGTTCTGCGTTGAAAGTTGGGCTGTCGCTCTTGTTTAGTTAGCAGCTCAGTGCCGCAGTGGCCGCAGCACGGCTCGCTTTCTTGGTTGTAACAGTTAAAAGGTGGTGATTAAAAACGTGGGTCGGCTGTGATTAGGCAGGCTAGCCCCGAGGCAGGTCGGTTCAGGTGGGGCTGCTGCTGCTGCTCAGGTGATGTTGTCCGTTCTCTCTTACGGCAGACTGGTCGCCAGGGCTGTGATCGGCGGTCTCTCTCAAACAGACAGCCGCGATTACAGCCTGGTGTCGGCGAGCTTTGGATACGGGAAAGACTTCCGAAAGGGGATTTTGAAGAAAGGCATGTGCTACGGCGATGACGCCTGTTTCATCGCCAGACACAGATCCGCTGATGTCTTGGGTAAGTTGTATAGCTGTCGATCCCTTAGCATATCCCAAAACTTACAGTCGGCAGGCTGCGGTTTGCTTGGCAACAAAGCCAAGCATGTCTAGCATGCCTAGCTAGCGTCTCGCTTCTCGCGTTGGAAATGCTGCCGGGGTTTATCAGAATGCTTTCCAGCTGATTCAGCATTATATTAACTTGCGCCTTTTATTTGTTATACATCTGCTAAAACACTCATTAAATCAGTAGCCATATATCTCTTATTTGTGACCCGGTAAAACGTTCAATATATTGGCACTTAGCTAACTAGCTAGCTAGGCTAATGTCTTGATAGAACAATTGTCTTCCCTGTTTAGCGTCAGCACAGTTGTGTAACATAAGCATTCACTCTTCGTAGTGGCAGCTGTGTCAGCTAGCTAGAAACTTAGCTTGGATTTTCAGTATGTTAAACCAGAACGTAACTACATAAGGCCAGTTACGCATTTAGTCGATACATAATTTAAAAAAAAATTAAAAATGCAACGTGAGAGAGAGATCAGGTAATGCTAAACATCCCCTAGCCCCAGGCTACCCAACTAGCAATGTACTGACTCGTGAAAGAATAGTTTTTTCTGAACAGGTTCGTGTCAACAAATCAAGGGGTCTGACGCACAAACACAACTGAATCCGAACATTCTGTAGCACCTAGACTATTGTTATGGCGTTATTAGCTAAATAATATTAACAAAATTCAAATATTTATTGCACATTTTTATCTCATGGAGACATTTTATAAAATTATAATAATTAGTAATTATAGTATACTAATTGTATAGTAACAACCTCTTCAAATGCGATTTTCGAGTTACGAGAATGTCGCTGGCTTTCTTTTCTGTTTTTGAAGTAGCAACATCAGACTCGCTGATGTGAATCTCTTTGTGTATGGAAACACTGAGTACAAAGTTGCCTTGACGTGCATCAATGAATTATTGAATCGGACATTCGATTCATTAAAACCAACATTTTAAAGAGTCGGTTCGGTAAAGTGACTCGTACTTTACTACTGGGAAACAAAACTACTAATGACGCTTCTTTTGGATGGTGGGAGGGACTTTTTCAACCCAGTCAATTAAATGTGCTCTTCCCTCCACTGGTAGGTCAGTTATTCATACACTTTATGAACTGTAATAGAAAGAATTTTAGGAGCAGCACTTGCACTGACGAGGTAGGAGCTTAGTAAAGCAGGTCAAGGAGGTGAACCCCTAATTCAAATGGATTCAACATGTTATCTGACCTAGTAGATAAAAGTGGCTGGTCATAAATCCACCTCAACAGCTAAACCTTATCCACTTGAGTGTGTAGATCACTGCAGTTGAATTGACAACAAGAAGCACGTTTGTCTCAACATGACTGTAGGATCTCAATTTCGAGAGTGTTAAACTCAAACAACAAAACTACCAAACAAAACAATGGACTAGTTTTAAAAAGAATGTAACCTCTCTTTTTTTTTGTTTTTTTTTGCAGTCAGCTTCATTAGTTGATTTTGGTTCATACTGGCACATAGCCTAGTTGTTTTAGGCTGTCTAAGAGTTGCTGCTGCTGTAAAGCTCATGAGAAGAAGCAGGCTGAATATACAAAGGGACTTGCCTTGTATGGTCACACGAGAGTCTCAGCATTATCTCTGTCAAGGGACCAGTTAGGAGGGCTGTCTTTGAATGGAAATTCCCTCTCTTATTTGCAAACCAGTTTGGGTAATGTGCAGGACGATTTTAGGCTGTGATAAAGGCTTTAGGCTTTCAGCAGTTAATTGTGACCAATGAAAAACTATTTTTCATGCTTGATGAACGTTCCAAAAATTCCTACAAAGTGTCATTGTCCTTTATTCTCTATCTTTCCAAAGCCTGTTTCCTGCCTGTTTGCCAACAGTGTTGTTTCTTTTGCAGTGAAGGGCACAGCTGCCTGACGTCACAACTGCTGCTGTTCTTGGTCACCTCATGAGCAGTCTATTATGTTCTTTTTTCTTCTCAGCATTGTGATCTTTTTAACATTCTGTTTTTCCCTTTTGATTCTTTTCTTCTCCTGTAGGTGTGGCTGATGGAGTGGGTGGTTGGCGTGATTATGGAGTAGATCCCTCTCAGTTCTCTGCAACCCTAATGAGGACTTGTGAGAGGCTGGTCAAAGAAGGTCGCTTTGTACCCAGTAACCCAGTGGGAATCCTTACCACCAGCTACTATGAGCTCCTTCAGAACAAAGTACCTCTACTAGGTGAGTGTTTAGTACCAGGCCTTATGCTCCTAGATGAATTTATAAAGTGTTTAAGAAGGTTTTGAACCACCACAAGCCTCCAGAATAGCGTCAGTGTGCCTTGGCAGAGATCCTACAAGTCTCTCGAACTGTATGGGATGCATGCAACGCCATTCCTACAAATTACACTCCCTCAGTTGGTGTTGTGATGAGGGTGGTAGAATGATGGTGGCTGTGTAAAGCCCTATTCTAGCTGGATCAGTTTTACCAGAGGAGGTCCAGTAATGTAATTTGTGCATGACTTGACTGGCCGAGTCGTATAGGATAAAGGATCTGTGTAAATTACGCCTAATAGCCCAGATAGAAACATCATCATGTGGACATTTACATCAGCATTATTCAATAAGTGCCACACTTCTGAACAGTAACACCTTGTGCAGCTAAATGGCATTTAGATTAGCATTAGGCTGGTAAAGTGAGACCATTTAGTTTCCAAAATGCGACCCAACAAAACAGAAAACGCACTGCCTTGAGAAAGGGTACTCTGGAGGTATTTTATTTTCTTTCTCCTTGTAATTTGGCCATCACAATAATGTTGTAGATTTCAGTAGCCTTGTCATGTCACTGGGTCAAATCAAGCTCCATTTGAGCTGTCTTTAGAAAAAAAAAAATGGAGGTGTCAGTTTCTGTTACCCAGTTTTTTTATTACACACTATGATGCTGATTTGAACATGATTACTACTTTACTGGGAAAAAAGACACTGCAGATTTGTACTGGATTAAAATCACAGATCTTTTTGGTAATCACTGAAATTACAGCACCTCCCCAGGTAAAAGTAATCCAGCCTGAATAGGGCTTAAGACATCAGTCCAAAATTCCCCCTAGATGTTCAACTGAGTTGAGATCTGGTTACTCCAAAGGCCATAGCATACGATTTACATTATTTTCATACTCCTCAAACCATTCAGTGATCCTTCATGCCCTGTGGATGGGTCACTGTCATTTTGGTAAAGACCACTTCCAACAGGAGAGAAATGTTTCGTCACAGGATAAAGGTGATCAGTCAGATTTACTTTGTATTGATTTGCAGTGACCCTTCCCTCTAAGGGGACAAACCAATGACGGCAAACCATGACAGCAAAATGCTCCCGGTAGCATGACAGAGCCACCGGACCCACCCACTATAGGGGTCAAGCAAGCAGGCCTGTACCGTTTCCTTGGTGTGCACCATACATGCACTCCCCACTTGTCGAGAATATGGTGAAGGACCACTTACTTCACAGTCAATTTTTCCATGTCTTTGTTGATCACTGCCTATGTTTTTGCACCTCTGAACTCTTATGTGCAATTGTATCTTTGAAATGAAGGGTTTACGCACTGCAGCCCTACTATAATATCCCTCCATAAGTAGTTATTGATGGACTCTTGCTGATCGTCTGATTATGTTTTGATTTGACATTCTCAGTCAGCTGAGGAAGTTGCTGTTCCTGTTTTTCCTTATATATTGCATTAATGCAAGATCATCGCGGTCAATGAATGAGTGCTTTCAACCACCGTTTTCCGACTCTATTGACTGATGTCTGTCCACAGATCTAAATGCAGATGTCACTTTACTTACTGTTCTATTGAAACAGTAGCCAATTGAGCAGTTTTTGTGACTGAAGCTACTGCCATCTGTGACCCAGTAATGAGCCCTCTTTCAAAGTCACTTAGATCTTTTCCTGACACCATCTTTATCCAAAATTAAGGTCAACTGGGCCTGCTCAACTTTTTTTATACATGCCGCATGTCAGTTAAAATGAGTAGACCCCACATAGTGATATTTTTTGCATAAAATACAAAAGGACTTCTTCTGTCTGTAATTTGTCTTTTCAAATGAATAATCGATTAAGTGGAATGATACATTCTTGTATACCCCTGTTTTTGTATGCATTTGAATATGCAAATGAATACATTCAATAACCAAATGTTGCAGGCCGTAAACACCAGAATATAATTTATGCATTACAAAAATAATTTTAAAACAAGACTTCCCACATACTACACTTTCTATCTGACCTTCAAGTCAGAGAAAGCTTTTTTGAACACTGTAATTTAAGTCTGTATAGACCACAGGTCTCAATTACGGTATGAGTCAGAGAACGGCTTCCCACAGTTGTGCCTCTAGAATCTGAGACTGATGTTCTTGTCAAAGGAGCTTTGCATGCAGAAATTTCTTTGCCATGTTTTGCATGCGCCAACATGTGGGATAAAATGAACCAATATGCAGTGTACCTAAGGAATGGAGACCGTAAATTTACATGCCACCCCACTCAAGAGGCAAGACTTTATTTAGGCTTCATTTTTAATGTCTTTTGGGTCATTTTTTTTAGTCGGTCAGTGGCTATGGTTATATAAAACCTTGTAATTGTATTACTGTGCACATAATGAGCCATCCTATGTAGTACCTATGGCTATGACCAAGCCAGTTAAGTTTTGTGGTTGATGAGTCATGAGCAGTGGGGTGTAGCCATTCAACATTTTTATTATACATTTTATATATATATATATATATATATATATATATATATATATATACACACACACACACACACACACACACACACACACACACACACACATATCTGTACAGTTTGTTACTGCTCTGTGCTAAATTCCAAAGGAACTTTATTCCTTGCTTCGCTCAACACATGGCTTACATGAGAAGGAATGACAACACAGTTGACTGACTTGATTCAAGTAAATGGTGAAGTCCTGATTAATGTTGTGCTGATTTGTCAGTGGTTACACAGTATCTTTTCTAGTTTATTTCCTTCTCACATTAATTTGGTCTTTTAAGTATTTAAATATGTCTTAGCGTCTAATAGCTGTGTTCTGTCCCTTCAGGGAGCAGCACAGCCTGCATAGTGGTGCTGGACAGACAAAGCCATCGGCTTCACACAGCAAACTTGGGTGATTCAGGCTTCCTGGTTGTTCGTGGAGGGGAGGTAGTCCACAGGTCTGATGAGCAACAGCACTATTTCAATACCCCCTTCCAGCTTTCAATTGCTCCCCCAGAGGCAGAGGGCTCTGTCCTTAGTGACAGGTAAGGCATCACTACGTTTCCCTCTTCTTTCCACTTTGGTAATGCAACAGAGGCAGGATTCCCTGCTGGAAGATGCCTTGAATAAGACATAATCATTACTGGTAAAAAAAAGGGCTTCATTAACTTCTCATGCTGAGTGTTTGGTTATTAACTTCTCTGGATCACTGCCCCCCCCCTCCCACTGGTGGGAAACAAATCACTGTTGAAATGCTGAATAGTAAACGTTATTCCTGCAAAGGTTTAAGAAATATTATTATTAAAGTCATCAACTTTGCTTTACTTTTACTTTTTCATTAATGTTGTCATCAGCAGCATGGCCGCATTTTGGCATATGCTTTGTATGCTGAACTGCAACCGTTGGTGCAAGAAAACTTTATCTTGCTCTCAAGGAACATCTTGATATAGGACAGCGTTTCCACAGATTACAAGGGTAGCAACATGTTCATGTGTTATTTCGACTCGTTCCAGCAGTGTGCCAAGAGCCATGCTGTGTCCAGTCACCAAGGGAATTTTAATGGGTGGGGAGGGAGCCAGTGAGTGCTGGATAGCTGCCACTGACAGTGTTCGTCCAAAGTCTAATCACACACAGGGTCGACTAGAGGCCCTCTCCATATCAACCAATCCTGTTACTCTACTAGGAGGAATTTTTTTTAGCCGTTGTACTTTTAACAAGTAATTATTGTGAGCCTCTCACGTGTTTTAGCCATCTGAACTTGCTTGCTAATCTAATCTCACAGCTCTCAGCGGGCATGCTTTTACTTTGATCTCCGAATTAACATACAAAGGGAACTAAACATCTAAAATCGATCAAACATCCGAAACAAAAAAAGCGCTCCGGTACTATTATTATATGTTCAGTTTGGTTACATTACCAGGTTTGTGAAACATTTACCTAGTTTGTGACACTGCAGCCAAGGTCAATCTTCACATGATCTGCATTTGTCCCTAAATAGGTGAGCCAGTGGAAATAGTGATTTGTGGTCAGATGTTCTCTAATCTATAATACTTTAATCTGTTCCATTTTCTCTTATTTTTAAACTCAGGGACAGCACAAATCTAAAAATGAAGGGGATGGACAGTAGCTTGGATTGGCTGGGCTCAAAGAGAGATGGCCACAGCTCATGAGAGCCCAGAGTTAGTGACCTTCCAACAATTGAACTCAACACTTTAGCACAGGTCTAAAAGTGTACGCATGCAGCATAATACGTAACAACCAATGAACTTGGGATGAACAGTTCTTTTAGTACTGCTGAGCAAGGTCAAAATGAAAAGCTGATCTGGCTGAATTCCTGAGTAAAGATTTTGTGGAGTGAAAAGCATATACTGTGGATCTAGTTGTGACCATAACACATTTGACTGTGTTAGATGCTCCAGGAAATATAATCAAGGTACAGCGGTTTTATATCATATGAACTACAAATGAAATCCAAGACTGCGCTCAAACAGAATCAGACCTGTTTAGGATATAATTAGGGCACTGTAGAATAAAGACATTTAAGACACAAGGTATCAAAAATCTAATCAGATCAGAGCAAACATCGTACCGAACCTGAAAACGTGTACTGTTGCACCCATAGATAACCCTGTCAGGAACTAGCATACAACATTTAGAGTACAGTTCAATCAAACGTGCTACATTCCAGGCCCCTTAGATTGTCAGTGAATAAAAAAGATTTCTGCATGATTGGTCACAAGTGAAATTTAACTCACATACACGGAAACATTCATCACACGGAGATTCATCAATGCTGCTCATGTGTCATATACATGCCATTAACCCTGAAGTCGATAAATATCAAATTGTTCTTTCTAAGCTCAAAAACAAGCAAGCTGTTAGGATAAAAAAACTGTCCAAATATGATTTCAGTTAATCCCTTTAATTACAAGAGCCTATACACAGTTCCCTCCTGGTTTCTCAAGAATGCAATCCATTACAATCATATGCCTCTGTTCTCTCATAGTCCTGAAGCTGCTGACAGCTCATTCTTTGACGTTCAGCTAGGAGACATCATTCTCACAGCCACAGATGGACTCTTTGACAACATGCCAGACTACATGATCTTACAAGAACTCAAAAAGCTAAAGGTACAGGCTTGACCTTTTGATGATCACTATACGTAGAAATGTTACCAAAAGTTTGTAAGTGGGGTGCTAAAGTTATGTTGTACTGTCTTCTAGTATACAAATTATGAGAGCATCCAGCAGACAGCCAAGAGTATTGCTGAGCAGGCCCATGTTTTGGCCTATGATCCCAATTACATGTCACCTTTTGCACAGTTTGCCAATGACAATGGACTGAATGTAAGAGGTGAGTATTATTCAAGTATTGTATTTTTTTGTTCGTCTCTAGCTGCTCAGACAAGACTTCTAACAAAGAATTCTCTCACTTTGTACTAATTCCATAGGAGGAAAGCCAGATGACATCACAGTTCTGCTGTCAATCGTTGCAGAGTACACAGATTGATGCTTGTTCTGACTGCTCCTCTTGTTGTCTTCCTATTGTTCACTGGAGTGGTCATTGCTTCCTGCTGGCAGGATGAGGGCTGATTAAATTTTTCCTTTCTTTGGCAAGGATCTAACCTTCAACCTCTTCCATGGGTTTTTAGCATATCTTTCTCACTCTCATTTTCAGTTATGACCTTTACCTTCAGCATGTGGCTGAACAGAAAATAATAGTCCTCTTTTTACATCTTGATATGAACCAGTTAAAATGGGCTAGCATTGCATCTGCTCTTCAGTAACTCAGCTGTTCTGGGCTTGATGAGAGCTTTTACAGGTGCCTGGTCTCACAGTGATCTTGTAATGAATGGTAAACTATCAGCATGTAATAAATGTTTTTAAAGAGAGATAATACATAAATGAGATGTCAAAGATTAAGGGGTCTGGAACCAACAAATGAAGAAAGAGCTAAGCTCAGGATGATGAGAGATTGATACATTAACATAACCATAAAAGAGCTCTCCAAAAGGTACATCTCTTAAGCAAGGATATGCACCCTAAAAATAACCAGTGAAACGATAAACACTGATCCCACATCATGTGTGAGTGATTATCATGAAAATGGTACCGTCACGCCAATACTAGACTATCTCTGAGGAGTCTACAGAAGAGTTGGGGCTAAATGTGTTGCCATGCCAATGGCAAAGCCAGGGGAGATCAACTCAACTGAGAGGAATCTCTACAAATGCCAGTTTTGCCTGTTGAGTCTCTAGAACGTCCCTTTATCTGCATCCTCAATCCAAATCTAATCAAATCTTTATAAATGAGCCTCTGATGGACATCAGCTATGTTCTGAGCCTAGTAAACTTAAAATGGTGTCATGTAAAGTCCATTTGGCTTAGTCTAAATGAACTGACTGCATATACAATTGAATCATTGTTAATTAATCATCAAATGAAAATGCCTTACTCCAAGTAAATGGCAAAACAGAAACCTGTTCTGGATGCTTTATTTGGTAAACGTTGGTAATATGATCAGCCTTGGCTCTGTAACGATCCAAGTAACCATAACACCGTTTCAGGGTCCAGGGCAAAGTGCTGTAGTAACTTTGCAAAGGGAGACAACTGTAATGCTTTTTTCTGTTTTATCGCTCTCTCTTTTTTAAATATTAAATATTTTAAATATTTATTGTATCAGACCAGTGTTCTCCCCTTACCACCTAATGTGAGCTGTTATGTAACTGACAATGTAAGAGACTGCAAAGGTTTTATGTTAAGAGGAAAAAAAACTTTTAATGCTATGTCAACCACTTTGGAGGTTCTTATGCTATTGTGTGTATGTATTTGCACAAATGTGCGTATGTGTGTTTGAATGAGATGTATGTATAAGGTGTATATATAAACTTGCTGTATATTTATGTATGATGTATGCATTTGGCAAGTGTAGGCTATTACACATCAGACATTGTATATGAAAGTAACCTATATTTGATAAGTGTGTGGGTTCTGTGTTTATTTTGTTTTCTTGCTCTGCGTTTTTTTTTTTTTAACTTAATTTTAAATATTCCTTGAGGTGTATACTGTTAACGCACAAGGCTAATGCTAGCATCTGTGAATGCTTAAAGTGGATATGTGATGGGTCACATGATCTAATAAAGGTTTATTTTTTTAACTTGTGTGCTGGATTTATTTGAGAATAAGTAATAAGATGGTATTCACTGTTATGCACTTCCAAAGCCTTTGTGCTCATGCACATATTGATGTAGTTAAGCAAATTTTAATGCAGAAGGTATTCACTAGTGCACAAGTACATTTCATCAAAGCCACTTTGAAAATTCAAGCAATTTGGAATAAAATATTTATACAAATGTTCCTCCATAAACACTGGAGTGGTAAACCACAGAGGATTCATTTAAGTAGTTGTATTGAAGCTTCCATCTCAACTTTTAGATATTTTGATAGAATGTGTAATTGCTACAAAAATATAACACTTGAGTAAGGCACATAACTGAAATTAACATATACACACACAGAACTGAAACAAAATGTGAATAAATGAAAAGAAATGACATATTGTTGTTCTAAACTGTAAGAAATCACTGTCCCAATATAATATTTGATTGTTTTTATAGCCACATCAAAGTTAAAGAGCCTGGTTTAAATATATTTACAGTATCAACCAATATGGAAGAGTGTAGTCTATATCTGCATACTCTTAGTGCCTCTAAACTACATGCAATTGTTAAATCTTCTTTGTCTCCCTTTTGGTATGTTACCTGAATTACTCTTCCACTCTGACACCATCATCTCCAGCATCATCCTCGATGTCACTGGCACACACCAGGCTGGGCAGTTCTGATGCATTGCCATCTGCCAGGTTGCTCAATACAGCTCCAAAGAGCAGAGAATGAATCTGGTATAAAACAATATTGACTCAAAGGATGGAGTGTCCCCATATTTTATTATTTTATTATTTTAGTGAGAAAATGAAAACTATTCCACTATTACATTTACTACTTAAATCTTTGTGCATAACCTGCAAATTTCAGCTTACATGACAAGATCCAGCACTAACACCCCATACCACTTTAGGTCTTAAAAGGTCCACTTCTTCTCTGTGGAGTTGCAGGAGATTCCTCATGTGGAAGGCTGGGCAGAAGACTGGACTTCCCTGGCTAGAGGCCACCTGCTCCCGAGGAGGGAAAGTTGAATGCTCGGATGGCACGCCAGCAACCTCTGCCTCTAAAGGACCCTCATGTATGGCGATGTCCACTATGGAGTTGTCAGCTATGGGGGTGCTTGCTGGACAGACATCACTGATGTTCCTAATTAAAGATGAATTACAGCAACATTCAATATCTAGCAAGAAAAATTTCTCCACCTTTTAAACAAATCTAAATCATTGGCTATGATGTACATTTGCATCTGTTGCATATGCATAAACCCAAAACACAGAACCAGATGCTGGGCTACTCTATCAGCCACGTGACTGCTGTAGTTACTATGGCACGTGCATGCATGTGTGACAGAACAGAATGAGAAGAGGCCAGAGAAGGAAGCTGAGGGGTGGGGTGGGGCGGGTGCAAAAGTAAGGGAAGGAATGGCAAATGTTGGAAAGTGAATGCAATTTTCCCTCAGGGAGAGTGTACTATATTAGGATTTGGCCCTGTCTCAGCTATGACAGCTATAAAACCTCCTCTCTTCTGCATGTGCCTAGCAGCATAGGGTAGGCCAACAGCTACAGTCTACAGTACGTTGTCTACAGTCTCTTGACTTTATTTTATACAATATCTGAATTATGCAAATGCTGACATATGTGGTTACTAAATTACTTTGGCAAATGTAGAAGCAGTTCTGAAAGAAAGCAAAGTGAAAGACCTGTCCATTGGCTTCTACAAACAGCAATTCAGTTTTTGTAAATCATTTTCTAAGAAATTTTGGCTCTGTATTCTAGCACAGTGGAACTGAAATGGCTTGATAACTGAGAAGTGCAGACAGTTACTTTATTTTCACTTCTGCAACCTTAACCATTTCTTATCATTTAAGGTCAATAAAACTATTTGGGCAAACAACTAAGTTTTAAATGGAATGCATGTTCTGTTAGAGACCCATTGTTTTTCCATTTAAACTAGAAGACATTTTACTACTTACTTTTCATTCTGAAAAAGAAGGAGCACACCTTATTCTGTTTGTTTAACTTGATCTCAGTCTTTAAAGAATTAAAGAATACAGATAAGATTGGGCACCACTGATGTAGAAATATACGGCATCTATGACAGAGCAGACAAATCATACATGTCAAACATATCCAGGAAATAATTCTATGAGGTCCAGCTAATCTGGGCAGACTGAGAAAAAGGCAACCCTGTTTTAAAAGGAAGAAGACTGTCAGTCAAATACAACAAATTAGGGCTTGCAAACACATAATTTGTTTCTGTGGTGAACCTGCATGTGTTATCAGTGTTGGCACAAATTTGTTTTAACTACCAGGTTGTTGATAACAACCATAGGTCTGCACTACAGTGGCTGTTATCGGCATTCAGCTATCTACATTACATTTTGGATCAAACCTTCCTTCCTTTTTACTTTTGCTATCAGTTGTAGGCTGGCCACTATTTATATTAATCAATATTTTGTGCACTGTTAAAAAAATAGCTAATACACTGTATTATATTGTACAATATAAACCCCTCATTAACAAATTATGATTGTAAATCTTATCTCACAAAGTCAGTTCAAAGAAGCCTGTGAGGACTAACATACTACCAAGGACTTTGCCTTAGAAATGGATGTGTGCCAAAGACACGGCCTTCAAATGCCTGTGCAACAGGTCAGCTATGACGCAGGACCTGCTTACGGTTGACCCAGATGTGAGTGAACCGGCTGGCACACTAATTCACAGTACACTGCACGGAAAGCTTCAGTGACATCACTGTCCCGGATGGACAGGTCGCAGGGGGTGATGCAGCCTGTATGGCCCTGGCTACGCCTTATCCTATATAGCAAAGTAAAGGGAAGGATATTGAAAGCTGCCACTCAACTAAGAGCTTAGTCGTGACAGCTGGCGGACAGGAGAGGAGGCTGGTTTTGCATAAGAAATGACAGCAATAGGACGATAATGAAAGAGGTAGTATACATTTTAGGGAAATGCATTTATACTATCCTGAACTGCAATTTGATGTACTACAGTATTAAACATGCACGGTAAAATTATCGTGGACACCAGTCACTTGACTTTTGCCCTCTCAGACATTAGTTTTTTCCAAACCTGTACTGCAGTGTGTGCCAATGTTTTGGTCTGTAGCCTGCTGGCTAATCTAACATTAACGTCATAAAAATATTTATTGAAGAAGCTACATGGTAGGTAAATAAAGTTACCTCAATGTCTTTATTGCGTTTTGTTTGTCAAAAGTCCATGTGCAGACTTGAGCTTGATGCTAACTCATAATAGACAATCTCACATTCACACTAGCAGAAATAAGCATTCTTACTGCTTACTACTGTTTTTTTTTTTCAGGCAACTACTAAACTAAAGAGTTCCACATTAAGCAAAGTTATATAATGATATGTGTGACATACTCATGATAATTTTTGGCAATTTTTATGGTGGTACATTATAGATACTAGTTGTTTCCATGCTGTATTTTATTTTGGAGCAGCTTTACAGCTCTTGGTGAAGGTCTCAGTGGTCTATGGCAGGGATCTCAACTCCATTAGTACCTGCAAAGGCACATGTTTCGTCACTGTGTACAGAAGAAATTTGCCTGTGAACTAGAATCTACTGTACAGTCTACAAACTAAATGGTGACACAAAAACAGTTCAATCAGTCAACTGTTCTTGTTTTGTTTTCATAAACAAACCGTCATGTGTGTCACACTTTACCCCTAGGTTGTAAATTGTGACATATTTGCTCCAGATATATTTGACATTCAAAGCGAATAACTCTTTCACCTTGGCACTGGAGCTTCCTGGACAATAGAAACCTGCGACAGATTCTCGCTGGCTGGAATCACTAGAGTGGACAATACCACAACAGCCTCCAGCACCATATCCTCCACACTGAAAGACACTGGCCTGAGAGACAGTATGAAGCACATCACCAAAAACTGGTATGCATGATGATACTGGAATTATACTGGTATCGGCAGATATTTACTTTAAAAAGGCATCGAACAGATATTTACATTTGGCTGACATTTCAAACTAAACAAATTTGATGATGCATTTATTGTACAGCACATTATATGTGATGCTGTGCTACTCTGCTAAAATAGCTGCATTTTATCGTATTTGTAACCCTACAGACATACGTTAGATATAGATGTAGCCCCTCATTTTTATGTATCGGCATCAGCAAATACATAACTGAAAAATACCAGACATCCACATCGGCCCTCAGTTCCCATATGGGTGCATCACAACCAAAAACATTAAAAATTTATTTGTGAATTGAAAGGTCAACTAATTGAGTTAACATGTTTTTTTTATATTTTGTTGTGTATCGAAGCAAATGCACACTTACCTTCCAGGTACACCAAAGTGGACAGACACTGGAAGACCATGGGTCTCAGCAAATGACAGTAAACCCTAAAAATAGGTGTACTTTAACTGTGCTGACACCAAACTTCTACACATTCATCATAAAAGTTCAAAACATAGATGAACATCCACCTCACAAGCAATGTACGCTATGCAACCATTAAGGACACGCTGACCTCCTCACTTTGGGCAACACGATTGGGGTACTTCCAAACAGTCATGAGTGTTATGGACACAGCGTGCTGTCCAACTCTGTAACTCACTGTGACAGTTTAGTGGCCTGCCAATGTAGCAGCAATCTGCCCTACTGCTTCAGTCACTCACACAAACACAGCAGAGATACTGCCCAGAACAGCCAACCCAAACATGTGTAATGAATGTTAACACTGGAGGGGGATCCCACTGCCCCCTAAGCTTTTGAAATGAGGGTCAAGGGTTACAAGAGTCAGTATAGAACAAACCTGGGCTCATAATTAACTAAGCTGGGCATATTTCGAAAAGCGGAAGCACCACACGTATAACAATGGCCCTTTACAGAATTTCTTGCGTTTTGTTGTTAGGATATCATGCACATCATAAGTTTCAGCTACAAAAAAGCTCTCAAAACCCCAAAGATCACTGTTATCACTCGAGGCAAATAAAGATAAACTGGAGTGGGCCTGTTTGTGCTTCTATGCAAACACAAGAAGCACAGCAAAAACACGAACTGGGAATGAATATGGGATCGAAAAACACAGATATCACAGTGAAAGATGGAGAAATATTTTACCACAAAGCGACAGCTGACTTAAAATTGTAAAGAAAGTGCCTTGATGTCTGGGTCCACGTTATAAACATTTTAAAGGCTATTTTTCGCCTGTGTTCAACAAGCAGCTCCTCTATCATAACGGCTCTTTACCTCTTTTTCTTTCACTCATTGGCTGTTGCCTGCATCAATCGTTCAGTTACATTGCTGACCATCTCATACTACAGAACTCGTGAACATTCCGAATTGTAAAAATCGAACACTGAAAATATCGGACGTCTGTCAGAACTGTCATTACAACCTGGAATAAGAACATGAATGACTGAACTTAAAACACAGCTGTGAGCACACAAGTATAGCTTCTCAAGGGCGAGTTCAAGTGAACATGATAGGCACACTGGCTTCTGAACATCTGGGTACTGGGACAGAAATAAGTCACCATAAAAATGAATATGGCTCCCCTAATGGAGCCCCACACCTCTCCCACAACATAAACCCACAGTCAAACACAAACATAAGTAATAAAACACTAGTATGGGAACATTCAGAGCAGCCATAACCCACTTCTTTGGACCCCAGAATAGAAAGTCATTCCCACACTGCACATTATGTAATACCTTCTTTTCATTCATAGCTTATCAAAATTTTGCACAAGTGCTTCTCAATGCTCCTTTTCAGTGACTACTGTAGGTTCTTACCCTCAGTTCTTTTAAACAGAAGGTTGCATCTGAGTCCACCCCAACCTGAAAGTAGTCAAACTCATCAGGATGCACAGACATCTCTGTATACATGCTCCTGATGTGATCTGGAACCAAAACAACAGAACAAGATAGAAAAATATTCTGTAAAATTTACTTTTGTAACAGTCAATAAATATTACTTTAGGACTGGATATACAATTCTAATATTTTTTGTATTCAAAAACATTGCAGCAAATCAACTGAAGTAGCAACTGACCGTTCTCCTCTTCAAAGTAGCTCTTAAATTTTACTTTTATAGGTGATATGGAGAGTGTGATTTCCTCTTGTGAGGTTGGGAAGTGCATCACAATGTCACTAAGAAGTCTGAGAAAATAAACAGTTTCTGCTTTACAAAAAGCTACCACAATTCAACCTGAAAGACCAATCTCAATGGCCAAACAGATTGCTGTAAAATGCTACCTGTATTTCACTAAACATCTCTAACAATATGTGGAATTACAAACACTGAGAAAAATCACAACAAATTCTAGATAAGAAGAAAATACTTACTTTGGCTGTGCCTTTAGAATGTTAGGACAAAGGTGTGTTGGAAACACAGCTTGCAGAGCTTCACACTCTTGGTACCCCAAGTTATGTGTCTTGGTTATTCCTGCCATTTATAACACAAGGTAAAACGCATGTAATTATTAAGAACCTAAGATATTTAGTCTTATGTCCAGCTTCACAATTACATCCACCTTTTTTACATTTACAACTATGGTTTTCACGTGTAATCACTACATCATAATTGTTAAATATGTGAACTTCTTGTATAAGATTGATACTTGACAATTCACAAGCACAATGCTGGTTAGAAAGATTACTATTGGAGGCAGTAGGCTATTATATACTGCCCCCTGGTGCGTGCTTTGAGTTTCAGTAACGCAGCTCTAAATTTTAGGAAAGCTGATTCATGCAGAGCCAACTTACCATGTTTGCAGTTAAACTGGAATATCACCCTGTTGTTTAAGAAGTTGATAGATAACTCACATCTGTACACATTGCGCTCTATTGTGGCCACGCTACGGAAGAGGGGCAGCACTGACTGAAGAATAAAGAAAACATTCAGCGCTTATGAACACTTGTCAAGGCAAATGGGGTTGCTATTCTGACAGCTCTTATTGCAGCTAAAAGTTACAATATAGCTGACTGAGATTTGTTTGGTGTGAATCGTGTTAGAAATTATATACTATACCGGCCAAAAACAGTGTAAACGATAGAAAATATATAGAAATAAAACACTTTTTGATACCTTCAAAGACACTTTGCACTTGACAGTTTTATTTTCTTTAAGTTCATCTAGGTTTGGGGTATAGTGTTGAAAGAACAGGGGTGAGAAGAGGAAGCAGGCATATGCTGAATGTGCTGTGTTCACTGCCCTAACAGCGAGCTGTGGAGAGGGAAAAAAGAAGGACAGAGCTAATGTGAGGACATAAGACGGGGCTAGACACTCCAGTCCTGGAAGGGCGGACTCCTGCACAGTTTGGTGGTTCTCCTGCTCAAGCACACCTGATTCAACTCAACAGTTAATTGTCAGGTTTAGTTGGTGTGCTTTAGCAGGGAGTGGTGTGCCATAGCAGGGAAACACCAAACTGTGCTGGACACCAGCTCACATTTTCTCACCTTTCTCATCTCATCTATGGCTGTTTTACATCAGCATATCACAGTGGAATACAGTCACTCACAACTTTTTTATACACAGCTACATTGTTGGCACAGTTAAAAACTGCTGCCTTACACAATCTGTACTAGCTAAGCTATGTTCTAGCCCAGAGGTTCTCAAATCTAGTCCTTGAGTTGAGCACCACTGCTATAGCCTTTCATCAATGGTCAGCTGGTGACCACAGAACTGTTCTTGTTCTTGACTACAGATGGACTCGCTACAGTTCATTATTGTACACCTACATAGTGAACCAATAAGGTAGATGGAGCTCATAAAGTGATCAAAACAGTGAAAGTACATGGGAGTGCAGGTCTTGATGTATTTGCATTGTTCACAATTCACTGTAAGGGCTTTGCCTTTTTGGCCACTTGATGTAGCTATTAGATATTAGATAAGTTATATAGCTGTAGATTTATACAGAAAGTGGAGACTGTCTAAGCTTTTCATTAAAAATATGTATTTTATGAAGTTACGTAGCTTGTTACCCCTTTCTGCAATGGCTCCAACCAAATTTCATCACCAATCCGTGACAGAGCATGAACAGCCCTTCCAAACACTGTAAAAGGACATGTTCTCTGTGAGTGAGGAAAAAGCAATCAAACCGCCCATCTCGCTCCACAGCGTTCCTCGCGGTATAATTAACATACGGTTTCCACAACTTTACCTTTAGGGTAAACCTCTGGTATGACTGATAATATAGAAAATATAGATAATAAACATACCCTTTACACCATGTCCTTCAATAATGCACCTCATTTGTTTGCAATGGTGGTCAGCCACAAGTGGGTCACAAGCTAGCTAGCTAAGAAGCAATGTCTAAAAGTAGTAACTTATCCAAGGGACTCGATAACACGATTTATTTAACTGCAACCATTAAAACTTGACTAATGTACAAACCATGGTGCTATAAAAAATAGTTAATTTCGCTTCCTTTCTCGAGCCAGAAGACATATTAGTGGTACGTAACCGTGTTAGCTAGCTGGTAACAAGAGGCTCGCGAGCGCAGTTGGCGCCATCTGGAGGCTGAAATGACTCGGGCATCAGTGGCGGTATGAATCGGCGATACTCGACTCGCGAATGTGTACACTGCATACATTTACATGCATTTAATAAAATTAAAATGTTCCAAAAGCCATAACATGAAATACCAGAATGTAACACGTAAGGAAGCATCTTTTTGAAATCGATTGTCTTTCTGTATATTGTCTGTGAATCGATCGTCTGTTCTGTATACTCACAGCACTTAATGAAGTAGTAATTGTTTTTCATTCTTTTATTCTTGCATACAAAATAATATCATTAGTGTAGATGGGGGCCCCAAGTAGGATTTTTGCACTAAGAGGAGATGAGAATAAAACTCAGTTAATAAGATGTTTGATTCAAAGAAATAGACAGTTTGAAAAAATCTGTTTACTGAACTTCTGAAAACTGAAGGTTTTCACTAGTACAATGTAAATGAAATGGAAATATCACTTCTCAGTATGCAGTGGGAATTAAGTTCTGTAAGAAACCAGTCCTATAGAAACCGAAAATTTTATTCTTTCTGAGATTTTTTTGTCCTAAATAACATAATCGAAACAGAATAACAGAATAGATTAATTAATAGAATATTAGCAACGGTACAAATGCGATCTATTTTTTACTTTAATAAGTGACACAATATCTATTACACACCTCTGATCCCAATTTTAAGAAAGTCTTTCGCTTATGTAACAAAGCAAAACGGATGTGGGGGCTCACAGTGTAATATGACGTGTTATTTTATTTATTTTGTATAAGGAAAAAAGGGAACTGTCCGTTATTCAGATAAAGGTTTTAAGTAGGAACTACATTTCAAGTGCAGAACGGAACTATTAAAATGTAACACCATAACATTACAAGGCATGGCAGGAAAGATAATGTGACCAGCTGGTTAAAGCTTTGATGTTAATGTTTGCGGACGATGAACCGCTGTGTTTTTCCTCGGTTAAACTGGTGAAACTCCCAGCCTGTCCTCCGCTGGGCTGTGTATTAGCGCTATGTCCAGCAGCGGAGAGTGGCAGTGTGTACGGCGCGGTAAAGCGGCAGCGCGGAGAGGAAAAGCAGCCCGGTCAGAAAAACCAGCCTCATCTGAACCTGCAGAGCCTCCAGAGCCTTCAGACCGACAGTGGGACAAACGCAGAATAACAGAAGCAGTGTAAGAGCGTAGTACAACAGGGCTAGAGTCCATGTTAACGGTGTGGAGTGAATATGGAAGTTACACTAGACATTTTATGTGAAATTTTTGAAATGTCTGTAGAATTCACCTGTAAACAGGCTGTTTTTGTTACTGTGCCTTTAAGAGTGATAAATGTAAATTAGCTCTCTTCTGAGAGGCTGTCCAGTATTCTGCATAAATCTCGTCATCACGGCACATTTATGAATGGAAAAATACATATGGAAACTTTAACCTTGTTTACATATTATAATAAGATCCTTTGTTTCAAAACATGAAGACAAATCCATTTTCCATGATATGAGCCCTTTAAGCCTAAAGTGAGTTGGCGTAAAAATGCCCCTTATCTCTCTTCCTATTTGAGAGCCTTGACTTAATCACCTTGATTGTCTAATAATAAGATAAGATGTGCACTTAGGAAGATGTTGGGCGACATACTGTAATCTGCACCCCTCCTCTCTCTGCAGGAATGACCTGAGAGATGAAGACTTTTGGCTGGAATGGAGAGGTGACTGAATTTCACTTGCCAGTTTTTAGCAAATGTTTAATTTGTGGCTCAAACAGATGGTCAAACTTCAGATTTCTTCCCTCAAGTACTGTAACATGATAATAATATCTCCCTCTCTTTGTTGTCTTGCAGATGTCCTGTCCAGCTGCCTTGCGGAGTTTGCTGGAGATAGCTGTATAGATAAGACTGTCAGAGAGGATGAATGCCTGCTGGATTGCGTGTGCTATGGCCTGGGCAACTTCTCCTCCTGTGTGTCAGCCAGATATCAGCTTGCCATGTTGCTGCTGCTGTTTGATTCTTTGCAGGTGAACTCATCTACTCTTGTACAGTGTGAACTTACAGTATATTAATCTATAAGTGGAAATGTATAGACTTTAGTGCTCACTTTTTTAAATCTTATTCAGATTCCTGTGGGCCAGTGCAGCATGTATGACCCAGTATTCACAGTGTCTGAATGTGAGATTCTCAGAGAGCTGGGCTTCACTGTACTGACTGAAAATGAGGTAGGTTCTCTGGAGCAGTGCCATCGAAGAACCACTTTTTGGTCCCTAAAAATCATTCAGTGAGCAGATCTTTAAAAAATGATTCTTTAAAGAACCTTTTTTGTAGAAGAACTCTTTTAGAAGTTTAAATAACTTAAACACTATGTAAAGGTACTATACTAATTGAAAGCAAACCTGTCAGAACTATTACATAATCAGCAGTTATTTGAGTTGATCGAAATGATTTAAACTGACTGCAGTTATTATGTTGGCTTGAATAAGCCAATGTACTGTTTGTGGTTTTCTTCTTCTTATTGTTATTTGGTTAAAGATTTGCAACGCTCATTCTCCTACAGCCTTTTAGCTAGAACCACAAAACTCTGCAGGATCCTATACCTGAAAAAGCTGATACCTGAAAAAGATGCTTGTGCTTTTTAACTTGTACAAACACATTTTTTTCTTAGGAAAGAATGGGAGAATGAGTCATTCCACTTGGATAATTTATAATGTTTATCCTTTCTCTTTTTCCACCACAGTCAGTGTACACTCTGTAGCCAAGAGTTTTTGGATGCTCCCCTCATGTCACCATCATACAAGTATCTTAGCAACACCTTAGCAACTACCTGGGATAGCACAGCAACGGCCTAGCAGCCCCTTAGCAACGACTGGGCTAGCATAGCAGCAGCCTAGAAACACCTTAGCAACCGCCTGGGATACCATAGCAATAGCCTACCAACAACTTAACAGCCACATGGGATACTATATCAATGGCCTAGGAACACCTTAGCACCCACCTGGGATAACACCCGCAAAGAAAGCTAAGCAGTGCAGTAGCAGCCACATGGGATACCATACACTGGTCTAGCATCACCTTAACAACACCCTGGGATTCCATAGGAACAGATTTATCAAGCCAACTTAAAGTTTGTTCACAAACTCTCCCCTTCTAGTTTTATGTTGTTAGCTTGCATGATCATATGTTCATGTTGTAATGAACAGAATGTGAAATAGGTGTGTTTTTCATCAGTTGAGTTGAGGCAAATGCGTGTAAATAATATAGAAAATATGTATTTACTGAGACATGGGTCTTCATCATGAGTACAGACTGCTAGAAAGCAAGTTAGCTAGGCTTGTCCTTTAATAGCTGCATGCAATGAACAAATAACAGTTGTTCATCAAAATGAATTATATGACAAATAATAATCAGCAAAAAAATTCATGATCCTCAGTCATATAATTTACTCACAGGGCTAATTAAAGGCCTTTCCTAGAAGTGTAGGACCAATCCAGGACCATTTAGGAACCTTGATACAGTGAATAAATTACATTTATTCATTTTCACTTTAGACCAAGACTACAGTTCAGCTGTAGACTGCTTTTGTCCCATTGTCATACCATACGTGAACTGTTTTAACAGGCATGAAGTTTAATTCCTTATACCATGGACTTGTTTTGTCAGGAAGGGAAACGAGCAGTGTGTCACCCCACCCTCTTCTACCTCATGCACTGTGGAAAGGCTCTGTACAATAATCTCCTCTGGAAGAACTGGAGTTCTCATATCCTGCCCAAAGTCATTGTTATTGGCAACAGCTTTCTTGGCATTCAGGAGAGGTAATGTGACACACAAGACTATACTATTGTAAAATAGGCCCAAGATTTAGTCATTCCGTCTGTGTACAGTTTATGCAATAAGCAGACAACTCTGTATTGCATGGTTTCTATTTTTTGTCTGAAATTGCAGAATACTATTTTACCATTTTGGAATCACATCACAGAAAGTACTTTTTTCAGAAACAAACTGGTCACCAGGACAAAAGGATGATAACAAAACAACGTTAATGTTAAAAAGAATCGGAAATCATAACACGTGGTATACAAAACGTTGTATTAGGGAGGGTCTTTGAGCAAACTGCGTTTTTGCTTGATAATAGTTGGGAGTGATGTGGGGGTGAAACCTGATATTATTGTTCAATATTATTTTCCTTGCCCACTGGTGCACAATAACAGGCAGGTAATGAGAACCAGATGTTTTGGAGGCCAGTAAAAGTCTTTATATTTTCATAGATTATGAAGATTATGGAAAAAAAAGAATTTGAATTAATATGACCAGGGACATGAACTAACAATAAAAAAGGTCAATTTTGATTTCAGGTTGACTTCCAAGTATATTGAGGACAGTGCATGTTCAATGTGAGCTCATGACAAAACAGTGATTCAACCTTTGACCAGATGCAGCAAGTGTCTTAGATGTAGGGTTGTCACTGTTACTTAAATTTGATTTTTAAAAATTTGTTTAAAAATTTACACAATGATAATGCATATTTTAAACTCTGCTGGCAAACCTATTGACGTTACTAAAGCTATTAAGAAGCTGTTTTATTGCTGCAAGAACAGCACTGTTATTTTTATTTTGTATGTTTTCTAGGATGCTTCAGAGGGAGCTTGAGAGAGATTACTGCTTTCTCTCAGATGTATCCTTCAGATATTTCTGTCTGTTGTTACTTGTCCAAAACCTCAAATCAGATGATGCAGAAGTGAAACAGGTCTTTTTAAGTGTTGCTCCTGCATAGTTCATTTTACAATGTGGCACCTAACCATCATTATGAGTCTCTTAACATGATTAAATAACAGCCCAGTAGTAAAAGAAGTGTAATGGGCTGCAAAGACAACCTGCAGTAATTTTCCTGGTGCCATTCAAAAGGTCCAACTAATTATCTTGTTTATTTCATGGTAGATCCGTGTGTGTCTCTAAAGGCAGACTACAGAGTGAGTGTGTTTTTGTAGACATTTTCAGGTACATCAGTTAAACTCTTTAGTGCCAAATAATCAAAGCAAAACCAGTTTGGTGCATCCTGGCTGATGATGTTTATTAGGTTATAGGATCATGAATGTGAAAAATAACCAAAAACAAACTTCCAGTTTGTAAAAGACATGAAATCAAATTAGGGAAATATGACATTCATTGCTGTAGTTGTGGAATACGTTTGCCATTTTAAGTTGCAGACCTTGACGCTGTTGCGTATTAAGATCATAAATGTGTGTGAGGAGACAAGCCTGCCCTGCTCACAGCGTTTTGTGGATGTCTTTAATGACACCGCACTCATCCGGTTCCCACCAGACAAGCTTCATAAACTCCCAGAATCCATCTGGGCTAATCCCTCAGAACCCCAGTACCAGCACTGCCAAGATCTGGAGATCATCCAAAGAGAGAATAGAAGTTGAAAGGAAAACAAGTGTGTACTTCTAGGGGTATGTGCAGGATAAGAGATAAGTATAAATGCAAGGATATGGCATAGTGTTAGGAATAAGGAGTGTTTATTTTGCATACTCAGTTTAGGTAAGTCATTTTCTGTTATAAAAATTAAAAGTCTTGTGTGCTTTTTTTCCCCCAAAGGCGTCCTGTCAAAGGAAGTTTGGTCTTGGCTTGGAAAAGACAAGCTTTTGTTAAAGTGTAAATGTTCTACAAAATTTGCCCTAAGTTCAGGTTGTACTGTATGTAGCCAATTGTAGTACAGAATACAAGGGAAGCTGTTATTGCAAAGGGAGTGAGTATAATGTGGTAAATCAAAGAGACATGACTATAGAGGAGTATACAAAGCTCAGAGTTTTGTTGCAGCCTTCTGTCTGTCTTTCTTTTTCTCTGGTTCTGCAGACAGAAGCCATATACCAGAATTCTTATACCCTGTTTAGTTTGGTGAGCATGTGATGTTTCTTGATGTCCTCCACTTCTTGTATGTTAGATTTAGTGTCAAACCTTGTTTTGTTTCATAACTAACAGTGATTTATGTAGTGCATGTCTACAGTTGCAGATGTCTCAATTCTTTGCTGGAGTCTCTGTTACAGCCTGTTTCTCCACAGTCATTACTTCTTCTTTGACTTTGCACTCTTCTCCATTAACCAAAGCTGGCTCCAGTGTGTCTTCTGCTGCCATAATAACCTCTTTTGACTCTGACTGGTTCTTAGTTGAGACAGTGTTGGTTGAAGGAATTTCCGATTGATCAGTTGAACTGTCTGCCTCTTGCTCATTTTCAGTCGATGCATCTCCATTTTGCAAGTGAGACTCAACTTGGCCATTTGTTTTTGAATGTTCAGGTTTCTCTTCGAGAATGCCTGAATCTTCCTGTTGACTCTCATTTGTTTCATTCACCTCTTCAGTCTGCTTTACATTGACTGTGGCTTCCTCAACAACCTCAACCTCATTTGAAGACTCCACCTTAGCCTTCTCAGCCTCCTCAGCAGCCCTTCTCTCTTTCAGCTTCTCTTTGAACTCCATAATCCTCATGCTGAAATAATAATAATAATAATAATAATAATAATAACAACAACAACTTGATTTACAGTGCATTTTTCATATGGGTGGCAGCTCAAAGTGCTTTACAGACAGGTGATCAATTTTAACAGTAACAAAAAAAATTACAGATTTCTTCTATTACAGTTCCTGTTTGGTAACTATAGAGGGAAAAAATCTAATAAATAAAAGTTGAGTATAAATTTAAAATGACATGAAGCAATGACATCAAATTAAAAAGATAAATACGAAAAGAGAGTTAGAATTTTAATTGAAAGCTAAATAAAAGAGCTACGTTTTCAAATGTTCAAGTGTGCACCGAGCTTAACTGCCTAATAAAAGATGGAATCGAGTTCTAGAGTTTAGAAGCATAATAAGAGAAAGAGGCCTCTGTGTGTCATCTCTGTATTATGGAAGTTATTTACAGAAATCCAGTATCTGCAAAGATCACATGCTAAAACAAACAGATTTAGTGAGGTTTAAATTCTAGTAGAAGAACTTCAAAATATCCTAAAATATACAGGCAGCCAGTGCAGTTCTTTAAATTATTAATAATGATTTACAGTCATGCCAGTTTGTGCTATGTAACAGCTGTTTACCAGGCCCTTAAACTCCTTTATGTCCACCTTACCTATAAGAAGTCTTCAGGATGCCGTTTACCAAAGCTAACTGCTCCAGCGTGGTCTCCGGAGTAGGAGCCAAACTCTGAATAAAGATGAGAAAGATAGCTCATGTCTAAAAAATGACAAAGCCAACACATCAAGAGTGCAGTTATTATGTGAGTGGTACTTACCTCAGGTGTGCTCGAGTCTGTGAGCTCTGCCCCTCCCTGACGTATGGACCGTTCCACACGCACTGCCTGCTGGGTGATGGCTTTCAGAAAGTCAGAACTGCATTTGGTCTGGGGATGAGTCTCACCACACTAGAATGCACAATACACATATACTCAACAGTCACACCATATTATTACATGCTTTCACACTTTTGCAGTGCCAAATCTTGTGGGGGTTTCCCACAACCCCTGAGTTGTGACTCATTCTTTCCCACATTTAGACTGCAAATTCACACGTATCTCACCTGGCTCTGGAAAATGCTGTGCGCCTCTTTCTCTTGAGTCATGCCTCCCCTGTAATCTCCTGCTACACACATCCGCTGAGCCAGCAGATGGTGACTGTGGAAAGAGACATTTTAGAATTAACCTGATAACAGACTGTATGGTAAACTATTATCTTCAGTAAGAACTTCTGAACAATGGTAAAGTGAACTACACTTAAGTAACCACATATTTTAAAAGTTTTGTCGTACTTCAGGGCAGTCGTCAGGTCCATGGCCCCTCTGAAAGAGGTGTTGAGTTTCAGTGCATTCTGCAGATACTGCAAGGACTGTTCCCCCTGCAGCATTAAGCCCAGAGAACTCTGGAAGAGATTTTGATTTAATATAGTGTTAAGTAACATCATGGTAGAGGGATTTATGAGTCCCATTCAATTGATTGTGTAGATAGTTAGCTGTGACGTGCTCACATCCAGGACTGCTGTGTAGGGGTGATCCTCGCCATGTACTGTCAGCATGAGCAATTTAGCTCGATACAGACAACGCAACGCCAAAGCAGTCTCTCCTCCAGCGAACATATACACTGCCAACAAAGCCTAGAGAGAGGGCACAAAAGTTGTTTTAAGATGTACACTGATAGCAAAATAAGCTGATAAAAATATATACAGCGCTGTGAAAAAAGTATTTGCCCCTTCACAATTTCTTCTGTTTTTGCATATTTGTCACGCTTGAATGTTTCAGATCACAAGACTACTTTTATTAGACAAAGATAACTAAAAAAAACACAAAATGCTGTTTTGAAATGAAGATTTCATTTATGGAAGGAAAAATGCTGTTCAGCCCTACCTGGCCCTATGTGAAAAAGTAACTGCCCCCTTTGCAACTAAATCCACTAGTTAACCAAATTCCTCAGTATACATACAAATAGCAAAACTGGAAGAAATCAGGTGAGGGGCAAATATTTATGTCATAGAACTGTGTGGACCATTTTACAGAATAAGTTCAAAAAGCAGTAAAAAAGTAAAAAGTATTTAGACCTTATTATAGATTATCTTATATATTTATACTCAGGGCATTAACAGAGATAATAAGGCACTTTCTTTTGGGAGGTGGCTATCCCAAATCCAAACACCTAAATTTCAACTTGTGAAAATAAAACAATTTTTTTGTATTTTTTCAATGTTTTTAAAGCACTTTTTGATTTCTGTTAAACTGAAATAAATGATTTATAATGAGTTTAATTTTTAAATAAAGAACTTGCTGTCCCACCTTTTCATGTCATTACCAAAACACAAAGAGTCTTAATCCATAGTTGGAGCCTTATTTTAGCAAGACCTCTGCATTACAGAGCAGGAAGTGAGACTGCATCCCTGTCCCTCATGGCCACATGGTGAGCAATTAAATCTCACTGCTTTGAAGTAAATGTGTCCCAAAGTCTGAAAACCTTACGAATTAGTAACTAAAAAAGTAGACTTTTTTGTGTTTTAATGAAAAATGATTGTGTGTACAGCTGTTCAAAGCTGTGCTTGCCAGTTAGTTAGCTACTGGCTAGGATTTTATCCTAGGATGAGTTATCCTCAAAATTAGTTAAAATTGACCAAACATTAACAAAAACATTTGGTAAAGCTTCTGTAGTGTTATGATCATATATATATATATATATATATATATATATATATATATATATATATATATATATATATATATATATATAAAAAGCATATAAAGTTTATGCAACTTACATATTGTTGAATGGTATTTGGGTGGTCAAAGCCCAGCACCCTCTCACTGATGACCACTACCCTCAATTGCACACTGCGAGCCTTGAAAAAGAAAGCGGAAGATTAGACAACGACTGATTTGAGAATTACTTTAATCATTAGTAAAGCACTGCTGGCACTGACCAACACTCCACTGACAGATCACAACACCCACCTCAGCAGGGTGGCCCTGCAGATATGCCACTCTTGCCAGTGTACTAAGACAGTGGCAGGCCTCAGGATGAAGATCGTCACATACACGGCCAAACAGATACGCCGCCTCTTTCAACTGGTCATACGCCTGCTCCAGCAGCCCTACAGGTGGAGAGGGCCGGTGATTAAATATCTCATCCTTACCAACCATCAAGAACTATAAAATGTTACTCTGACTAAAAAAATCAAACCTTTCTGAAGGCTGTTCTGGGCTGCCTGGAATGCTTGCGAAGCATCAGCCGTTGCCATGGTGATGTGCTTGACCACAGGCAGGAGATTGAGTACATCGTCTGCGGTGATTGGGGCTTTGTTGCGGTTGTCGAGGACATAGTCTCTTAATCGCAGCTATGAGATACAAACATGCAAGAAATGGCCATTAAAAATGCAAAGAAATAATTACATAGTTGCTGAACAAGTTATATTAAACCTGTTATTTTCTAAATTAGAGCATATGTGGGGCAATATCACATACAGTAATGGAAACTGTTTATAAGTACACCAGAATGTTTGTGATTGTATTACATATGGGCTCATAGTACCTGTATGCCTGTTTTTAGGCAGATCTCTCGTAACAAGGATAGCCTCTGGATTCCATATTGCTCAACCAAGTAGTCAACATTCGACCTGCAATGAACAGTTTATGTAAATACTTATGTATAACTACCCTGTCTCTGCTGCTCTGGTGTACTGGGCACATTAGGGTGAATATGCATAAAATAAAGGGATATTTTAAAGTAATGTCTCACCCCAGTCCCTGTTTAAGGCCATAGGTCTCTAGAGCATCCTGGCAAATGAGGCTCCACAGTTCATTCCCACTGAGACTGCTCCATGCAATATTGTCAGCAGTTCCTCCTCCTTTATGGCCACGCCTCCTGGAGCGCTTCTTAGACTCCTCCCCATTTGAGGCAGGGTTGAAGTGTGGTACCACTAAGCAGCAGAGGAAGTGACTTGCAGCTGCTGATAGGCTTGCCAACTCCACTCCCTTGAAAATCAGCAAGTATAAAAATTCATATTTGAATGAA